GCATGATAACCAATAGGTAAAAATTCACTTAGCCTCTTTGGATGGACGTCTTGATGGCAGGGGTAGGTTCCGGGACACCCCTAAAATTTGGGAAAACAATTATCCAACCTCCGTTGGTAATTTACGCATGGACAAAAAAATATAATTGATAGTGAGGGACACCCCTTAAATTTGAAAAAATGATTATCTCATTCCTACTGTCATTTATGTATAGGAATATATGTGGTAGCTAGGTTGGATAATTCAAATCTATGACCCTATTATTATTAATAAACTTAATTTCCGTTGAGCTACAACTCATTTGTTGTTCGATTTTGAACAATGTGTAATAGTAAAGTGGCATTCCATATCTCTAATTATTTTAAAAACCGAACAATTAAACTAATTTCAAACTACCCTTAATTTGTATTGATTTTATGATTGTACAACAAGTGTTGAAAGAGTCTCTCAGCTTTGGGTTACATCAAGAACAAGTTTACAAATCGAATATGCGATAAGTTCCTTATCGTGAATGATTGTTTAGTAAGTATATAGAGACAATTGTTTTTGACACTATAGACACCAAGTGTATTCTACAATTATTTTCGAATACGAAAACACATCATGGACTTTTTTAACCTGTACGAGTAATGTATTTTCATATTTACGATCTTATTTTTATTAATTATTTTTATTTAATTTATTTTTTAAAAGAGGAAGCCCTTATGGAAAATTTCTGGGTCCCCCACTAGTTTCAGGACTCTGTCTCGCTTTGATAGTCAATCCGTTACTGTTTGATTCCAGTGTTGAGAACTGTAGTTATTTGTCTCATGGAAATTCAGGGTTCCTTTTGGTTTTTTGATGCTTCTCTTACAGACTGTTTGGTACCAAATGAATCGAGAATTCATTTCATTGTAAAATAAATTACCGTGTAGAATTCATTGTCAAATGAAATCCTATGTGGTATGTTATATTCAAATCTTTAGAAATAAAATGATGCATCGTGTTGACTTCATTGTCAAATGAATTCCTGTATTTGGTATGTCATATGTTTAAGTAATTTAGTTAATAAAAGAGGATAATCATGTCATTCTATTATAATTAGTAAATACTTGTGGAGTTCATTTGAAAAATCGATCTCAATTCCTCGGAATTGCTATAACTAGTTTCAATTCCATAGAATTCAAATTTTAGAATTGAAAATGAATTCTTTTTATTACCGAACACAAAAATATTTCATTTCAAAATTTATGTTAATATTCGTTGCTCACGCAAGATATCAAGACTTCTAGCTTTCATACACCAAGTGTATAACCACTTCTCACATTGCATTATTCGCCTTCAGAGGACTACTCTCATCATATGATAACTGTTATTGTAGGCTTTGTTGATCAAAGGATCTTATATAGTTAAATCCATTCGATCAATGTGTTTGGAATTTCCTGCTTTATAATCTGTAGCTAATATAGTTATATCCACTTCTTAAAGTTGCAAGCTTCTTTTGAACAATTTTGGCGGTTGGCATGGGAGTTGCTTAAAATGAGGTCCCATAACATGGATCTCACTCTGAGTTTCTGACAGAAGTGAATTTTTCTTTAAAATTATCAGGATATGCTCTTCCCACTTGAGCTTTCAAGTTTGTTGACATGACTTGCTTAAGATGCTGACTTTCAATTGTCTGTGTGACTTTACAGTGATGTCAAAGGAGGACTCGATCAGCATAATTTACTAATGCATGCATGATTATGATTATGGGCGATCTAACTACCTTGAAGGTATATTCCTTTGCACTCTCAAATGGACAGATAATTAATTAAGGAAACAGAGTGATGGTGTCTGATGACCCTTTACAGTCAAAGCTCCGAACGTTTGCCGCTGTTTCTCGACCTCATAGTAAGTTCGTTATTATATATAAATGGATTGAGTGTCAAAATGTGTTGTATATCTGTCCTAGCTAGTCATATCTCTCTTCAACCATATATAAAAGTTGTCTTTTTTATATTGTGAAATACTATTATGATACTGAAAGCATCTCCATTTTCAAGTAGTTAGAAACTTAGAATAAACTAATTTTGCTAGCTACAAATGTTTCTCATAGTTGGTTCCTCACACTAAGGCAACTGTTTTCAATGAGTCTTGCTCCTCTGTGTTTTTCTTTCACGATATCAATATGCAGCTTCCATCCACTATTCTTAGGCTACAACGTAACGTAACTATTACTCATCTCCAAGCCTCTTCTTCGCACAAGTCATATGAGGAATGGCATGCATGCATCACATTCTCTGGGCATCACAAATTTTTAATAATATAGTAAACTAAAATGCCTAATTAAGATCATTCATGTCCGAATTGCCGATTCTAGAGTCTTACTATTCATGAAAATGATTTCTCGGATTACATTGCAAAAACTTGATGCCCATTGGACAATGCATGATACTACTAATGAACAAGTTAATTTTTACTTCAAATGAGTGTTTTGTGCGGCAGATCAATCTTTCTTTTAGATGTTGCAATGAAAACCAGCTTTACAAATTTGTTATGAATACAAGAGTAGATCCTTCATTATTTGTTAACACGTGAACTAATGACCAATGATATATTTGCAGGCCAATGAATAAATATTATATATATATATATATATATTGTTAAAATCATGAATAAATATTATATATATATATTGTTTTACAATATATAGTTAGTATTTTAGAATTATATAATCATAGATAACCACAGCAAATTATTGAGGATTTTCAACATATGTCTATAATCGATTAAATGATTTATTCGACATTCAAAATTTCTCGATTAAGAGTCGGGTATAGTCACTTTAAACATATATTGCCTACGTTGAAAACATAAAATTGTGTCTGAGTATTAAGTGATAAGGTAGGCGCAATAGTTCAATCTTTCGAACATCAATATTGAAGCCACCTGTCAGAAGAACAAATTATTCTAAAGAATATATATAATAAAAAAATAAAATAAAAAGAAATATCCACAATAATATAAATATAAGAATTAACTTACTTAAATCAAATGAAACTCACCCGGCCGACGGGCCGGTACAAAGCTAGCGCCAATTTAATGCATGGTAAAGGAAACCGTACCGGAAGTCATACCGGATCCGCCAGTGGTAGGGTATTTTGTGGTACTACCGTGGTTCAATCGTTGTGTACCGGCAAAATACCGTTTTTGTAATTAAATAATATTTTTTTATTAAAAAACCGTACCGACAGATTCGGGAAACCCTTTCGGAATAATACCGGAATAAAACAGGGATATACCGGATAACAAACCTGAATAAACTAAATAGGCATATTTAATATAACAATCAACAAACTCCAACATTATTGAAAACCAAAATTTCAAACACTTTTCAAACACTTTTCATTCACCAAATTTCATTCCACTCTCCTTACCTAATTGAAAACAAAAATTTCAAACACTTTTCTTCTTAAATTATAATTTAAGAGCATGTAAAAAGCGTTAATATTATAATATTTTAATTAAAATATTTAATTTAATCTAGTAACAAATTTTTGTCAAAATACTACCACAAGCTTCGACAGAAGTACAATAAAAATGATTTTAGTAATTTAATAGCTTTACATACTATTATTAAGTGGAAAAAGTTTACCTTACCTTATTTTTAGCTTTATTCTCAAAGAAAAGGAAAGGAATAAATGTATCATTTATGCACCCCACCTTAGGTAACTAGTTCGTGGAGCGGGAGCGTGAAAGCGTATATTTCAAAGGAATTTGATATTCAGAGCGTGAAGAGAGCGTTATTATTATATTACAATTAATTCATTATTTTAGCATAGTTAACATATATTATGCAATATAATCATTAAAATACATGCCTAGAATGCAATGAGTAAGGAATTTGATGACTGGTATAAAATTTAATTGTGAGTACCATATAGTAATTGACCTTTAATATATATATATATATATTAGTATAAAAATCCTAAACCTAAATCACTATTACAAACAACACACGTGAGCCCCCATCTTCTCCCTTTCTTTTCCGCCGCTCCTCTGTCTTTCCATCAATCACCAGAAAATTAATCCCCTTTCTCTCTGGGTTGGGAGAGCTTTGTAGCTAATAGCTTTAGCCTTCCAAATAAACCCAGATCTTAACGAGCTTTAGCCTCTTCTTCTTTATTGCAAGTTTGCAACGGTGAATTCCAAACACTTCCAATCAGAACCAAACACACATGAATCCCCCTTCACCTTCTTCTTCCTCTCTATCTTCTTAGCTAGGAAATCAATGTTTCCTGGTTTCAACTCAGACCACCCTGAAGAAATAGCTCCATGTCAGCAGGCGATCATCATCCACAAAAGCTTCTCGGCTTGAGTCCCCTCTCCATCTCCCCTGCTTCAGCAGGCGATCATCATCCACAATGATTCCTCTAAAACTCAACATGCAGTTAAACTCAGTGAATCAGACTGCGTGACTGGTGAACCGGTATGCCACTCGCCGGAGGATTCATCGCGGAAAGGGAGTCGGCGGCGTGACTGATGAACCGGACGGTCTGATGTTAACCGGACGACATACCGGGAAATGCCGGTTACGCCGTTAATGCCGGCCGGCGCGGTAAAATAGGCGCTGGTAGGGTGCCGTTCCGTCACTGGCCTGATTCCCGGTTTTACCGATTGAACCGGCCGGTACGATCCGGTTTCCTTTACCATGATTTAAGGGCAATGATTGGCTACCGTGGTTTCTCCCATACGTAGTTTAGTTGGTGGTTAACGTATGCACAACTTTTTTATTTGTTGAAACTTTTATTCTATAAAATGATGTAAAAAAGAAGGAAATAGTACAATTCTATCAGTACGTACGGAATGTTATTAGCACCATAGGCAAGAAAACCAAATAATAATAAAAAAATCGACGAATATAATCGGAAAAAGGGGGAAATCCGTTGTAAATCTCGCAAAATGTAACTGAGCAAAAACCCTAATTAAGAAAATAAATAAATAAAAAACAAACAAAAAGGCTGCCAGGAAAATGAGCATCAGAAGTCACGAAAGTGATCATTAATGGCGTCCAAGTTCCTGAAACTGGGCGTCCCGAAAAACAAAGGATCCGTGTAGTTAAAGAACGGCGCCGGATTGGGGGTCCCACAATAGAGATGACGATCGCCGGCCGAGCCTGACGGGGGAAACACCGGCATGTTCGTCGTCAGCTGGTGGTAGGGGTTCGGCGGCGGAGATTCGAAAATCGAAGAAGGCACAAAGGTATTCGACGAGGAATTCGCCTGCTGTCCGTCGCCGCAGTTCTCCTCCGTAATCACCGACGAAGATTCGTTATCCTCGTTCTCGCCCCCGCCGCCGATCTTGTTGTTGCTATTATTAATAATATTGTGATTCTCCCCCTCCGCATCTTTGCGACGCCCGGCGCCTGAGTTGTGGTTGTGGAGGCGGCGGTGGTGGCGACGAGAGGACGAGGGAGAAGGGTCGGCGGCAGGGTCTTGGTCGGAGCGGGAGAGGCCGGTGAGCTTCTGGACCAAGGCCATGAAATCCCTGGGGTGGGTGTGGATGACTTTGGGGGAATGGGTGTATATTATGACCGGGTGGCGCTGCGGCGGCGGTTTGGCGGAGCCGGCGACGGCGAGGGAGGAGGCGGAGGATGACGATGAGGAGTAGGGCGGGGAGGCGGATGAATTGTATGGCGGTGGCGGTGAGGAGGATTTATTCTTGATGATGGCGCGGGAGTCCTTGTTGACTTTCAACGGCGGAGGGCAATTAACGGCGCTCGATCTCCTCGTCGCTTCCTGATTGTAATTATGGTGATGAGCGTCGTGCTGGAAACTGTGGCTTGTGGTTGGTCTCATTCTCCTGATGATCACCCTTTGATGATGATGATGATGATTAACTCTTTGTGTTTGTATAAGGAATGTGATTACTTGGGATTAAGCATTTTGATTTGGAGAAAGATGGGGATGGCCAATGGGATTAGTGTTTCTCTCTGTTGGGGGAAAATTCTAGAGAGAGAGAGAGAGTGTGTGTGGGTTTGGGTTGTTTTCTATAAGGAGAGAGAGAGAGAGAGGTTTATTGAGAGCTGAATTTGTGGGATGGATGAGTGGTGTGCAGGGAAGGGATTAGGGATTAGCAAATTAAATGGGGCAGTTATGATACAACAACAAACTTTTAGTTTATTTTAGCCCTAATTACAGGGGTTCATATTTTGGTGTCATGGTTTTACGAGACGATGTTGTGCCACGTGGAGTGCGGCTAGCTGGATTGTTGAAACTTATAAGTTTATTACTCAATTTGATCTTTAGCTATATGTAAATGGAAAATAGTTTTACGTGTTTGTAACAAGAAATGGAACGTCGACTAAATTTGATATTACCCTACGTGGGAACGATGTGATGGGGGTGAGTAAAAACTCTTTTGTTCTTATCAATAGGGATGGGAATCACAAGACAGAAATCGGATGGTAATATCGTATGAAATCATATAATATTCAGATTACGGTTGTAGAAATTGGTAAAATATAGGGCACGATTTAATGGTTCTAAATTAAAAAAATGGTAAATGCCCAACGAGTTCAATCCATTGATCAACATGCTAAAAAAATCTCATATTAATTGGGCTTAAATCAACACTAATATACAATTGTCATTTCTCTTGTCTCCTAACAAAACCATACATATAACATTCGGGGTCGACTTTCAATCACCATTTTGACAAAAATACAATCCGATCAATTGGGTCATTTCGATGTGGTTTAACCGGATTGGATGGATATACCCCCATCCCTACTTATCGGCCAGGCGTGCACAAATTTAATTTGTTTGCATGGATTGTGCATTTTCTCTTTTCATATACGTGCTCGATCGTGCTGCATTTCTTATTTAAGGTTGAACTCTCAAATGAATTATATATGGTGGCGAGGTTTGCTGATTTCTTTTGTAGCGTGAAAGGAGACTGGAGGCAAGAAAGACGAGGACTATGGAAGGAGGACTAGCCAGTAGTACGTACTGACTACTGAGGCAGTCCAGGATCGGAGGAAGCAACTTAATTCGTCGCCGGCTGCCGCGGGGTTAATTAATTATGGTAGCAGGAATTTTGTTTTCACGCTCATTTTGAAATGAGCTTAGGTTAGCATCCGATAGTGTATTTGAGTAACCGTGACTCACAAGTCACAAGTACAAATGTACGTGTGCACGTCACGTCAAGCTCATTAATACTTTGTTAAAATGACCATTATTTGGATTCATGTTTTACATTGTTCGAAACGTGTGATAAAGTTGACACTTAAAATAGTATAAATATTTGGCCTGTATATATATGTATTACACGAAACCGTACAAGCCAAATTTGGCCCTGCTGTACCTTTTATACCATACAAGTCAAATTTGGCTCTGTAGCTTAAAAATGGGCCAAACATAGTCGAGCTATATCTAGTATATAGCCAGAGATGAGTAGCAGATTCTCGGAATAACTAATTTCTATATGATCCTCACTAAGTATTGGATGACAATCCGTAACTTTATTTTTTCCAATTTAATTTAACTAGTTATAACTCTTTTGTTTAAAGCGAAATTCTTATTTTTTTTAGAAAATCATATTAATCGTACTTCTCGGAATGATACCCACTTTGATATATTTTGAGACAAAAAACTAGATGCAGTTATTACTAGTCCGTATCATGGTGGTATCAAGTGTAACAACAAGGTGGTATAAATTAGCAAACACATCACATAAATTAGCTATTTTAAAAAAGTAGGTGATGCATTTTAATTGGAAAATGAAGTCTTATTATTGAGAATTTATTGGGGATCATAAATTGTGTTAATCCAACTGAGGTAGCTATGTTGAATGAATTTGGGAATGATTGCGGCTTGAAAGAAGTAGAAGTACGAATATCTATGAATAATGGGTTGCTAAAACCATATAGAGTTATGATCCTGTCATCCTTACCCTTTTATTCTCCATAAAGGGTGCGGCGAGAGAGGATATGAAATAAATAGAAGGATCTTAGGATTTGCATCTTTATATATTACTAGCTTTTACTCGTTCCTTGACCGAATGAGTTTTGTTTTATCTTTTACATTAGTTAATTTAAAATTATATTTAAAATATTTACCTGACCCGTTGGTCGGTTGAATTTTATTTTATGTTGCTCAATTTTTTCATGTTTTAAAATAATTTGAGGTTTTCTAAAATAGCTAAATCATTATTTTAAATTAATCTTTATGGTATTTGTTGATTATAACATTGGCGACAATTAGTTAATATGTATGTTTTTATCAAGTCATCCTAGTTTACTGTTTTGTATATTTTCCCCTATATCTTAGAAGAAATTTGTGGACTTTTTATTATAGGATATAAATTTGGTGTTGGAAGGAAATATATGTCATCTAGAATTGGTAAAAATTGAAGGTATATAAAAACAATCAAGAGAATAAAAAAAGTTTATGTCAAAATCTCAAATATGGAAGAATACGAAAAAATAATGCTTATTGTATAAATTATTATGATTTAGTGTATAGGCTTGTTTGAATAATAAGTGGGGGTTGTTAAGTGTTAGATACTAATGCACGTACCAAAGTTAAGAGAATCCAAACATTATAAAAGCTTAAATTCTACAATACCAATATACTCTTTGACATTCCATGTTAATAGCATAAATTGTAACTCTTTTATCCATCTTTCTCAAATTTATCCCTCTATTATTTTTCAAATCAAACATGTCCTTGTAATATATAGTATATAAGCATTATCAAATTAAATTTAGCCCCTTTTATGGTTTATCTTCTCCATCTGCAACTCCCGATAATTAATAGCTACAGTCACATTCTCCATTTGTTTCGCTTTCTTTTCCTTCAACCCAACAATAATTAAACGCAAAAACTTGTTTGTCATGAGAGAAACTTGAAGACCAACTTTTGAATTTAAACCACTTTCTGAAAATCCACAATTATTGATCGATTTGACTCAATCATAAAAACTGAAACACCAAATTTTTTAGAATGTATGGATTTTAAAGATCAAAGGTTGTCAGCCCAATTTAGTTCGTTGGCCCAGCCGATTAAGTGGGTTTAGGGTTAACGGTTCATTCATTTTAGTCAGCTTTTGCCCGGATATATGAAGAAGTCATTATATTGTTTGTATATTTATAAATTATATAAAATCTCATCTATATATGGATAATATTCTTTCTCGCTCGAACTATCTACATTTGTTTCTCTATCTGCTACTCTCCGCTATCCTCCTTCGAGCTCCTAAAAAGCACTGCAACAACATGTATTAATCACGCGACGAAGGTCGCACTCTTATGACGCCGGTGTGTGTTAGATGTTAAATTAATTAGGAATGGCCAAGTGAGAATTGAGCGTAGGGGTGCTTGGGAGGGAAGGCAATATGTGATGGAAGGCGAATTCTGATAGTAGTCTCTTTGTCTACAGAATTGACTCGACGGATTTCGTTTACCAATTAGCAGAGCAGGAGCTAGAACGGGAGCGTAAAAGCGTATATTCTTTGAGAATTATAATTTGAATGCGCCAAAAGAGCATGAATATTATATTATTTTAATTAATATATCATTTAACTTACTAACATTTTTAGTCAAAATATTACAACAATGCAGCGGAAAAATAAAATAATCTTTTTAGTAGGATAATTTTGTTAAATAATCTGATTAAGCCCGAAAAAGGAACAAACTTCAAAAGTTGAATAGAAACCCACCAAAGTTTACGATACTGTTTTTTGTTTTTTATTGAAGTTTTTAGTTTATTTTTGGGCTAATACCACTACAACACCCGAACTATGACAAAAATGTCACTTGTGTCCTATTGTATCAAATATTCCATTCATGTCCTCAACTATGATACTTTGTGTCATTTGTATCCTGACAATTTCGTTGACCGTTCAAGTTAACGGTTGACCAAACGGTGGTCAACATGAAGTTGACTTTTGTTGACGTGGCAAAGATGTGGCAGCCACATAGATGCCACGTCATTGACACCTCATATTTTATATTCAAAATTAAATAAAAATAATATTAAAAACTCAAAAAATTTAAACTCAACATTAATGACATATCTGACCTAGCTTCTTGAAGGAATCCGAGATGGAAGTTTGCGGCGGCGGATGAGCGTTAGCGGAGTGGGTAAGATCGATGGAGGTGAAGAGTCCGATTATTCAATCGGGGGTTTTCGATTGGGATTCAATGGATGATTCTGGCGATAGGATTAACGTAGGCGGTTTGTAGGGGAGTTAGACAGATCTAGCCGGGGAAGGAGAGCAGCCTCTCCTCTTGGCGGCCACTGAATCCGTCGACGAACGATTGATGGGAGAACGAGACGGGAAAGCATCGAAGAATGGAAAGTGAAGGAACTTTTCTTTTTTCTTTTTTTATTTTATCTTGAATAAAAATTGGAATTCAAAATTCCATGTCATATGCCACATCGACGCTGACTGGATTTTCCGTTAAAAACTAACGGTCAACACTGGTCAACGTTAACAGAATAATAGTTTAGGATATAAATGGAATATTGAAAAGAATAGGATACAAGTGGCATTTTGTTCATAGTTCGGGTGTTGTAGTGGTATTAGCCCTTTATTTTTTCAAAAGGAAAAGAGAAATGAATGCATCGTTTATCCACCCGCATGCACTCAATTCGTTTATCCACCCCCATGCATCGTTTCTTTCCCTCCGAGCTGTTGATTTGGCTATAACTTGTTTCATTTTACTTTGTTTATAGAAAGAAAAATCTCTCAAATAAGTGATATATGAAATAAAATTTGCTAACTTTGATTTTCAGTGCTCTGATTTTTAAGTTTGAGCTACAATTTTTGAGTTTTGGAAGTTTGTAGTTTCTGA